TTTGGAGATTGTAAAGATATTTAAAAGGATTTATATTCTATCCTTAAATCTGGTGTTTAAAGCGTAAGTGTAGATGAGAAAAATTGCTCAGGTATTCACAGCAAAAACTAGAAATTTAATAGCCATCTCACCAAACGAATGCAAGATATCAGATCAAGGCAGGCACGAAGATGTCTTCTGGGCATTTTGTATCATAACCTTCTTAAGGATAGGAATGTTATTTTTGGGTTGATGACTTCATCATGATTTCTAGACCCATTGTTCCCCCTTGTGGAATTATTATCATAGTAAAAATAATCTGAGCATGTAGTATATAGGATAGATTTTTGGAGGGGCTGTGTTCTAGTCAAGCTCACTGTATTTTAAAGATACTTAAAAAAATGTCAAAATCAGTACCATTATTCTTAATATTATAATAAAATGGTGATAGGCTCTTTAGGTTTCTGATAAAACAGGTCCCAAACTCAAAAGACTATATCTTTTCAGTGGGAGAAATTGATTGAATACTTCTAACTCTAATTTCAAATCAAGTACATCAAATATTCATATGTACACAGAGACAGCAATAAAGCAACTACATTTTATAGATTCCTTGGTTTCACTATAGAATATAACAGATTAATTTGATAAAATCATAGAACTATGGCTTAATGAAAACATAATAATAGCAGTTACTATTTCTGAACACCTGTATACTTTTCTGTTTTCATTTTTATTAACCACAAAACAATTGGGCAAAGGCAGGTTTAATCTGAGAGGTTAAATGACTTGCTCAAGCTCATCCAGCTAATAAATGGCAGAGAAGTGGGGCACAGGGCTGCATCAGCCCTTTCCACAGATCCTCTCGTCAAATATATCACTGCAGCTGTGGATAATTTAGAAGTTACAGGTTGACGTGCCATGGCTATTTGAAAGGCATTGTTTTGGTAAAAAAACATATTGCCCATTATATTTGCATATCATCTGTATAGCAATAAATTATTTTAATATTAAATGTGAATAATAATAGCACTTCCTAATTAAAAAGTGCCATGTTTTTCATAAAAACACAAAAAATTTGTTACATAACTGATATTGGAGGTGTAATTGCTTCAGACTCAAATGGCTTCTCAAACCTTTTTAAGGGAAATTATTTTTATTAAGTCAATAATCTATTTCAGTAACCTTCAAGTATTTTCTGATATATAACCTGTTTTCTTATGATTTAATGTCACTTTAGAGCTATCAGAAAGAACATGACCTATAAAATGAAGATAAAGGTTATGATGACTACACAGGAATGGAGACATTAGTAGGCAGGGATTTGTAGAGGAAAAGATTTAGAGACTGGATATCTTCCATTTGGTAATGTCATGTTCTTTTTCAAAAGCTTTTTTTCTTTTTTGTAAAGCTTAGCCTGAAATATTAAATCCTAGTATTTAGACATCTACATCGTGAATCAAGATGAACATCAAGACTATCAAACATCCTTATGAGGCTGCAAAACAACAATAACCACAATGACAAAACCCAACCCTTCTGGCCACCACATTCTGTTCCCGCATAGTTGAGTGAAATCAAAAAAATTCTTAATTATGTTGGAAATTAAAATATGTGTGAGTGGAAAAGGATTTGTTTTAAAATACTGTTTTAATTCAAAGTAACAAGAATCAGCTAATAAAATAATCACATCGTCAACAGTTCTCTGGGTCTATTACTTGAGTGTGAAAGGCTGACATTTTTATTTTTTATTTTTTTGGACACACTTACATCCATTTACTTATATCACGTAATCCATTCTGAGAGAGATCACTCCCACAGTGGTAAATTTCCTTTAACTACTGTATATGGAAAAAATTCAGATGCATTTATTGGGATGACATTTATGGGGAAAAAAGATATTGAAAGCTTTTTCAACAAATGTACATACCGATTTAATGCAAATGAATTACTAACATGACTAAATTAAGGAGTTATTTGATATTTATTTTAAAGTTAATATCTTACTTTGTGCTGCATTTGTTTTTGTAAAGTTATACATAAATAACGCTTTGTACCCATCAAATCCAAATTGTATTTCCATTTGCACCCTCAACAAATATTTGAGTGCCTACTATTCACCAGGCATTATGACTTATACCTACTACTGGAGTGTAACCTCTTTTAGTTATCATCTTGCTTCAGCTCTAAATTCTCATAATGCTTATTAGCACATTTTCTTGTGCTAAATATTATTTGTTAAATAAAATCAGAAATGAGGAAAATTTCTATGTTGAGGTTTATAATACAAAACAGTTTAGGGCTACTTAAATATAAGAAACAATTGTATTTGTGAAATATTTTTTAGGGAGGAAATAATATTCCCTTCATTCAGTTTTAAAATTTAGAACATGGAGTATCAAGTGTTGTTCTTAAAAAATACAAAATATACTTATATTCTCCTATGTCATAGGCAGTACAAGGAGAGATCTCACAAAGTAGAAAGAAAAGGTGGAAAATTTAAAAGAGATGAAGAGAAATGAAGAGATGGAGTTGGGACTATGGGAAGAGAAAGTGATAAAGCATTGAGGTAACAAAAGAATGACACAGATCCACTGCGATACCAAAAATAGAGAGAGAACATGTCCTTCAAATCCCAGTTAAGAAATACTACTGGCCCACTTCAAAGTGGCTCCCAGACTTGTAGTAGACTCAGAATTGTAGAATAATGCATCATTGTAATTCAGATGTGCACAAAATACCTGGTGAACCTTAGGAGAAGCAAATCCTGTCTGGAAGATTCAGGGAAGACATTGCAGAAATGATGTTTGGCTGAGTCTTGAGGTTGAGATACCAGTGGGACTGGTATCAAAGGGGGGAAATTCAGGCAGAAAATTGATGGTAAAAAGATCTGCATGGCTGGAACATAAGATGAATGTATGACAATGGAGGATAAAGAGAGTCAAGTTATAGGAAATGATGCTTGAACACCATTTCAGAGTAATTACTATGTGCCCACATTAAGAAAAAGAGTGGACCAATTAAAATATAATCTCTGAGGATGGAGCCCAGGCAAAGATATTTTTACAAAGCTCCCTTGGAAACTCTAATGTGCAGCTATAGTTGAGAATCATTGCAATAGGTGACTCGAAGTCAGTGAACATTTTAAGGTAAAGAAATAGCAAAATAAGATCCTTTTTAGGAAGATAACTGGCCTGGAGAGCAGAGAGAGAATGAGTCTGTGTGTGTATAAAGACTTTGAAGAACGGAATAGCAGTCAATTGTCTACTGTAATACATATGTATTCATATAGAAAGACACGTAGATAGACATACTAAGGAAGAGACCATTTTTATACTAACGTTAAGACTATTTGGAATACTTAAACTCTTATTGAGTGTTATAATCAAGCATTATAAAATTCACATACTATCTATTATATTTGCCACATAGATCTAATGAACCCAAGCCAAGGGCCCTGGTTGGAGCTTGTTTTAATCCCTATTTCAAATGCCTTACAAGAATTCACTATAGATACTCCATAGCTAATTCTATTTGTAAATCAAAGAAGTTATTAGTAAGAAACAGTTATGGTAACGTTATCATGCCAATTTTTTTATCAGATGAAACCACTTTATCTTGGTTTAGGGGTCACATTAGTATTCATTAAGATTAATCTATGTTGTTGTCCTTTGGTAAACTCCAAGTATTTATCAGTTGAAGCGAACAGGTAATTAAAAATGCATTAAAAAATCAGAGACTTCAGTAAATGTTTTCCACATTGTTTTCAAAGTTACTTTGATTTTCTCATTAACAACTATTAGTTTGCATAAGATGGTATGTTTTATTTGTAAGATAATGTCCAATTTTAAAGAAATTCAGAAAAAGAATTGGGTCTACTAGTTTTTCTGAGCTGTTAAAATTATATATATACGCCTAAAATTGGTATAAATTATTTTATCTAGAAAAGAAAACAATGATTGGTTTTGATTGAGTTTTACCAGTGTATGAACTTGGTTCTTCCTGTTATATATATATATATTTTTTTTTTAAAAAAGTGGATCTCCAGTGACTCATATCAGAAAAGAATTCTTGTCTGTCTTCTAAAGGAATATTTTCAGTTCATAAAAGAATGTGAATTATGTGTTTTCTATTTATTATAATTGGTTGTATTATTTTAAACCAGTATCTAGTATTTCCTGAAATATTTCTTGTAAAATTGAATCTAAGGCACTCAAAAATTTTCAACCTGTGATTCAACCATTATGCCTCCCTGAGTGAAGAAAGAGAATATTTCTCTTCTTTTTTCTCCCCCCTCCCTCCCCCCCTTCCCTCCCTCCCTCCCTTCTTGCCTTCCTTCCTTCCTTTCTTCTCTGATTTGAGAAGTGAATAAGAAGCTCTGACTAAAAGCAACATTTCTCAGGAAAGATATTCTTACATCGGTGTTAAAGGTAAGGAGACTGAGAATCAGTAAGGTTAAGTGACTTTCCACATGCCCCAGATGGTGAGGAGTGGAGTTAGGTCACAGACTCTTCTGACTTCCTATTCCATTCATAACCCTTATTAGAAGACAGTTCCAAAAAAAGCTTAGTAAAAAACTACAAAACCCACAATACTGTTGTCATAATGATATGGCTCTACTTAGTAACTTCCTTAGAGATCTGTATTTCCAATCTGTGAAACAGTCTTAACATATCAGCTATTTTTCCTAGTTTGAGAAGTATCAATCTATTTCAGGGATTTTTAACTCTTTTTCTCTATATTTTTTTGCATTAAAAATTCTTTGGAAAATCTGATGAGGGTAATGAATTTCCTCCTCACAAAAATGTATATACACTCATGTAGACAAAATTTTGCATACCATTTTAAAGGTTCATTTTTGTAAATATAATCAAGGAGACAAAGGGAGCTACCTACAGGGGACATATATAATAGCTTTTTATTTTTATATGTAAGATTTTTTTCCCCTAAAGTTGATTTGTTAGATGCAAAAGTTAAAAAATTTCACCTAAATGGTAGGAAATAATATGGATAAGAGTAAGTTTACTTTAACAATCAAGTTTAGTACTTTTTCAATCTTGTAAACTCTTAAAGAAAATAGGGGCAGACAATAACACTTTAAAAATTCTAATTATGCTTTATAAAGGAAAATAATTAAAACCTCATAATTTTCTCTGAAATTTACACAGTATATGTTATAAATGTAAGGCTTTGAGAAGAACATTGTAAAAACTCGAGACCTCATAATCCTGACCAAAACAAAAACAGACATAGCACAAAATTTAATTGTTTAAAGATAAAAATGACATTCACTTTTTATGAAAGAGAAGAGGTTTCACCATCCCTGCCAAGATTTTTGGTAATTGTGCAGCAATAACTTCAGACATCATTTCTGGAAATTCAACACTCAGTGCCCGGGACTGGATAAATGTATTTAAGCAGTACAGATGAAGTTGTTTGACGAGCTGTTGGTTTAACAAATGGATAAGAAACGTAAGAAAAATAATAAATTCACATACTATTGAAACATGGCAACTTATTTTTCTAACAATATAAATACTCGTCAAGATGTTTTCTTCTTCCCAAAATGAAAATAACTCTCTAGAATAATATGTAAAATATTACATACTCACAATGAAACATTCTGATAGTCCAGAAAGATTTAAAGAAATAGAAGTAATTCATAGTCCCACAGGATAACCAATGTGAACATTTTGTGTATTTCTTTCAAGTTTTTTTTTCTTTCTACACATGTATACAGACATACCCAGGTATATACGCAATATGCACACATGCACATATATTTCTAAAAATGCAATTATAAAAAGTCTATTTGGTTTTTTTTTTTTGGTGAGGAAGATTGTCCATGAGCTAACATCCATTGCCAATCTTCCTCTTTTTGCTGAGGAAGATTGGCCCTGAGCTAACATCTGTGCCCATCTTCCTCTATTTTTATATATGGGACGCCACCACAGCATGGCTTGATGAGTGGTGCACAGGTCCGTGCCCAGGATCCTAACCTGCGAACCCCGGGCCGCCAAAGTGGAGCCTGCGAACTTAACCACTACACCACTGGGTCAGGCCCTATACAGTCTATTTGTTAATCTGGCTTTTTCACATAACAATATGTTGGCTCTTCCTATTTCCATACAAACAACCGAACATAATTCATTTTAATCTAATTTTAATTTTTGTCAAAGTAATTCATGGACATAATTTAAAAATTCAAGTAGTTCTGCAAGACTTACAGCCACAAAAACAACAGCAGTAACAATAAAACCCAGCAGTTTCCTGATATACGTCGTCTTATCCTTTTTTTGTGTGTGTGAGGAAGATCAGCCCTGAGCTAACATCCATGCTAATCCTCCTCCTTTTCTGCTGAGGAAGACCGGCTCTGAGCTAACATCTATTGCCAATCCTCCTCCTTCCCCCGCCCCCCCAAAGCCCCAGTAGATAGTTGTATGTCATAGTTGCACATCCTTCTAGTTGCTGTATGTGGGACGCGGCCTCAGCATGGCCGGAGAAGCGGTGCATCGGTGCGCACCCGGGATCTGCACCCGGGCCGCCAGTAGCAGTGCGCACACTTAACCACTAAGCCATGGGGCCGGCCCCTTCTTATCCTTATTCCAGCTCCCTAAATGCAACAACTTTCAACTTCTTTAGCCTGTGTCTTTTAATATTTATCTCTGTATTTCTAATAAATTTTGTTTTCCACATTTTACATTATTGATTGAGTTTCTATTATGGAAAATGAGGATTTTGCTCTCTTATACTATACACCCCCCACCTCAACGACATATACATTCCCTTCTCCCCATTCTCTACACAGTTACATCTCAAATTTTGGCTAAACAATATCCAGCATTTATATTATAAAGATTTTTATTGTTTCCTGCTGGATTACATTTCCTTTCTGATATGACTTAACTTTTATTTTACTACAGCTAATCACCTTGTGTTTTTGTTTGCTTTGTTTCCTCTCTGTTCATCACAAAGCAATAGTCAGATTCTCTGACAGAACTGTAAAAACTCACCTCAATATGTTCATATAGTTCCATCATTTTTCCTAGTACTAGTATCCTGAAAGCCTCTGCATTACTGCTCTCATCTAGACTAATGATTGCTTGGCACAGTTAATGTGCTGGGAGAACTCGCTGCATCTCTCCTGGGTTGGATCTTCTACTTCTTTGGCTTACTCCAGTGTTTTGTTGTAAGAAATCCTGTAGATGTCCTTGAGAAAGGTTGTATTTGAGGTAAGCTCTATGAGACCTTGCATGTCTGAAAATACTTTTATAATGCCATCATATTTGTTTGATTGTTTGGCTGGGTATAAAATTCTCTGAAGATTTTCCATTCCTTCAAAATTCTGAAGGCATTGCATCATTGTTTTCTGGGTTCCAGCACTACTGTTGAGAAGTCCAACATCATTCTGAATCCTGACAATTTGTATGTTGACTTGTTTCTTTTCTCACGGGTATATTTTAGGATATTCTCTTTATTCCTGGTATGGTGAAATTTTACAATAATGTGTCTTGGTTCAATTGTGCTGTGCCTGTACACTGGGCCCTTCCAGTCAGAAAACTCATATCCTTCAGTTCCAGCAACTTTTCTTTTACGATTTCTTGCATCATTTCCCCTCCTTGATTTTCTCTATTTCTTCTGGAAATTCCTATTAATTGGAGAATGGAACCCTCTTAATTAATCCCCTAAATTTGCTATCTCTTCTCTCTAATTTTTCATTTCTTTATCTTTTTTGTTATTTTTTATGGGTTTTCCTGAGATTTATATTTCAGCCATTCTATTGAAGTTTTAATTTCTGCTCTTCTATATTTAATTAGCCAAAAGTACTTTCTTGCTGAATGTTCCTTTTTAAATGTTTTCTACTCTTGTGTCATGGACACAATATCATTCTTATTTCTCTGAATATCTTAATATTTTTGAGGCTTTCTTCTGTTCTCTGCACTAGTGCTTTTCCCTTCGAGTCACTTTTTTTTCATTTATTTTGTTGCTTTCTGCCTTTCTTTTCATAGGCTTTACCTAAATGGTTAATAACCCTTGGCTGTCTGTTCATATTCAGGAGTAAGGTCTCAAATTTGACCTGGTGAATAGATAGCTTTTATATGCCTCAACTTTATTTTTAGAGTGGTTTCTGAACATAGCAGCAATAAAAGTTGTATTCAATATGTCTTGATTAACCATATACATCTTGTTTGATTTATCCAGTCCTGGTGTTGGGCATTTCTAGGGTTTTTTCTCTTGTATAAGCAATGCTGCAGTAAACATCCTTGCTTTTATATCTTAAATACTTGCCTAATTATTTATTTAAGATAAATCCTAAAAAGTAGAAATGTGAAAAGGATAAAAATTTTAACTTTTGCTATATACTGCCAGATTATCTATTAGCATTGTTATTAACTTATAATTCCATCCAAAATAGTATGAGAGTCTTATTTTCCACATCCATACCCTTGCTTTCCCTGTATATATAACATCTTTTCTAACTTAAAGCAAAAATATTTTAGAACATATTCAGGAAAATGTATCACAATTCCTAGCAACCATTAAATTACCCTCAAATTATACAAATACTAGTAAAAGGATATTTGGGTGACCTACGTTGAAAATGAAAAAAGCACAATAGAAATTCTGAGCAGTGTGATGCAAGTACTGTTTTAAAATGTAACTACAGGGCCGGCCCCGTGGCTTAGCGGTTAAGTGCACGCGCTCTGCTGCTGGTGGCCTGGGTTCGGATCCCGGGCACGCACCGACACACTGCTTCTCCGGCCATGCTGAGGCCGCGTCCCACATACAGCAACTAGAAGGATGTGCAGCTATGACATACAACTATCTACTGGGGCTTTGGGGGGAAAAAATAAATAAATAAAATCTTTAAAAAAAAATGTAACTACAAATATGAATTTGAAGAAACCATATGAAGTAAAATTTAGATTTAACATTTAAAAAGTTATAGAAATTCAGAAAATAATCACTGATATTCTAGAAAACAAAGTACTTACATCATGCAAGTTATCCAGAAGTTTTGTAAGTTGGTAGAAACGCTGTGAACTAGAGACAACTCCTTTTTGTCTCAAACCAATCGCCTTGATGAGCTCTCTAATGTAGCTTGATCTCATCTCTTCAAACTGGTTTTGACTCCTTAGTCCTTCTAAAGGAACTGTAAGAAGATAGTGACAAGTAGCACTTATGTTTAAAAAGAAGATACTAGCAGTTTATAATACAAATTCCTGAGCTGTATAATTTCTTTTGATATATAACTCTAAATACAAACGTTTTAAATACAAAAGAGTCAGTGTTATTTAGTTTTAGGACCTGTAAACTTCTAGTTCTCTGGAAGAATATGATAAGAACAAGCAGATAAGTTAAAGCACATTTCAGCTTACCTATTTTAGAGCTATATCCACGGATTATGCATTTAACTTAGCATTTGCTCAAAAGAGCACCTGACATTATTGTAGAATCCTGTCTCAAATACTTGCTTTGATTTAGTTTACAACAGCATGTATGTTCAGTCTTCTTTTTCTTTCTTTTTAACAAATACTTGGATCTCTCTGTAAAGTCTTGTCTTCATAGAAAACTCAAGTATTTCTCACTGAGATTATTCCTGGTTAATTTACCTTTTTTGTTGTAATTTTAACATTGCTTCATTGAATTTTCTAACTCCTTCCTACTGATATGGGAGAAAGCTATTGATATTTGAATATTTCTTTTATATCCAGCCACTTGGTTATACTCTATATTTATTTAATTTATATTTCTATTTAAAATTCTAACACTTTTTGATCAATTATATTTTGTTTTCTTGGTATACAACAATACTATATTCAAATAATATCTTCATTTTCCCCTTTCTAATAGTTGTAGCTCTCATTTTTGCTTCATGATTCAGTGCATTGTTCAGGACTTCCAGAAAATATTAAATAATAATGGTGATAGCAAATATCCCTATTTTGTTGCTGATTTTAATGGGAATGCCTCTTATCCCCGTTATGTTAACTAGTAATTTAGATATTTACCTCTGAAATCTTTAATTCATACATCCAGATCTTAGGCACAACTTTTTTTTTTTTTTAATTGATCTCAGAATTTTTATTTTTTCAGGATTCAGACTTGCTAGGTTGTATGTTTCTAGAAATGTATCCATTTCTTTTTGTTTTAAATTTTTTGTTTATTGCAGTAACATTGGTTTATAACATTGTATAAATTTCAGGTGTACATCATTATACTTCTATTTCTGCATAGATTACATCATGTTCACCACCCAAATACTAATTACAACCCATCACCAAACACATGTAGGCACAACTTCTTATTCTTATGGCTGTTTCTCTTATCTCTACTACATTGTCAATTTACCTATAGCTTTTTTCTTAAATCTTTTAGGTCCTCCTGTTGTCACTTGAGATGCCCTGGTTGATTTCTTCAGCAGCTCTATTACCAGAACTCCCAATTTCCTTGCTTCCTTTTTCTTTGGCTGTACTTGTCCTGCAAACCATCTTTCAACCTTAAGTGAAGTATCTGCCTTTTTCTGCAGTTATATCCGGACTGCTGAAAGAAAACTCACATAACTTCTTGGATTTACACAACTATATATCTATAATCTTGACCATTAGCAATATTTCTATAGAGAAGTATACTTAATTTAAGCAAAGTCAACTGTATGTGTCCAGCAAAGGGAGAGAAATAATCCTTTTTTAAAACTCGTACTTATTCCCTGTACGCCAATCAGATTTTGGTTTCCACTCCTTTTGGAAAAAGAAGGCCACAGATAACAAACCAAAATAAACCAAAAAGCGAATTCTTTGGCTTTGAGTTTTTAAGAGCTCAGATCCTGAATACAAAAGGGACTTGCAAAGGTAATTTTGGCAATAAGTGATCTTTGCTCAATTGAAAACTTGTATATACCTCTGTATGTATATACTATGTGTATCTATGATCTATCTAGTTTCTTCAAGTAGCTATTTTAAACCTCCATAACTCCTTTTAAGCTTCCCAACTAACCCCACATCACCTTCACTCTTAAATATGAATATAAAATTATTTTCTCTTCTGATTATTAAAGTACTATTTTCCCATTGGGCTTTTAAGAGTTGGAAACTAGTAACCCAAGGCTTTCACTCTATCTAAATGTTTAGGACCAGAACTTGAACCAATTATCCTCTTTAAGAGAAAAGCAGGCCTAATCCCAAACTGCATCACATCCTTTGTATCAACCATTAACAACATGTTTGCAGGATATGATAATCTAATCTTAGGCTGTCATCCTCTGCTCCTAGGATATATCTGAAATGTTTCCTCCCCTCCCACTGTCTTCCCTAGATTTAAAGTCTATGATGAACCAGCTCTCCTAAATATTTCTGACTATTTCCTTTGAGCACCTTACCTTAATTCATTGTTTCCTTGATTATTACATCAAGTATTATATGATTGGAGAATTGTCTCTCAGATTCTTGTTGATGCCACATGTTGTGAGTTTTTAGGATTTTGGTGGCATATCTTAGTGGTAAGTTGGGAAAGGCTGAGTCAAGGGCAATTAGCCAGATGCTAATTTAGATAAGAACACTTTTTAAAAAATAAGAATCTTAATTTTTGATTTGGCTAATTTTGAAATAACATATATTCATTGGAAAAATTTTAGAAAATGTAGAAAATTGTAAGTCAGCTGAGATCCTACAATCCAGTATTTTGGGACATTTCCTAACATGATCTTGAGAACCTTTACTTATATCATTCAAAATTCTTAAAAAATGAAATGTTTTAACTCTCACATAAAAGTTCATCTCATATAACTGTAGGAAATACAGTTTATTTAATTGTTTTATCATTTAGAATATTTTACTAGTCTAAATAATACTTATGATGAATATCATTTCTGACTTTTTAAAGGATATATTCTTAGAAGTGGAATTATTGCAGTAAAAGGTATTAATTTTCTTAACACTCGTAATGTACATTGCTAAACTTACTTTTTAACTGTTTTGTGGCCAATATTGAGTATTTTCATTTTAATTAATTTTTGCTTTTTATATAGAAAAACAAAACATTATCTCATTTTCATTTCTCAAATTATTAGTGAGGTTGAACAATTTTCTCATGCTTATACGTGATTTGTATTTTTCTGAATTTTTCTGTTTTGTACTCATTTATCTAGAGGGGCCTAAAATATATTTTAAATATTTTTCTAAGTTTGTTGTTTAAAGTTTAACTTTTAAATATTTTATCATAGTTTTGCAACCTTATTAGGGCAAAGAGAGTGCCCTGGCAACCCAACTTTTTCCATGCTCCAAAGGAAAATACTCCATCAAATATTTTAGCCATTTCTTTTTATTTTTCCTTTCATAGCTTTACATAACATCCTTATAGTGCTGATTCTTGATTTTTCATTTTTAACTTTTGACTTTCCAGTATGGAAAATGGGGCTGCAGCTCTATTTTCATCTTCCATATCTACCATCACCACCACACTATAAGCACACACACACATACACCTTCCTATTCCTCATCGTCCTAATGTAATTTTCATAATATTGATATTCTGAAATTAAATCAATATTTATGATTATGAAATTAAATCAATATTCAGTGTTTATTATTTTAGCTATGTAAAATACTACCACAGTCAAGTCATGCAGCATATGATTTCTTTTCCTTTTCAGTATAACTTTTTTTTTTTACTAAGATTAAATAACTATCCTAATGGGTGTGAAGTGGTGTCTCACTGTGGTTTTGATTTGTGTTTCCCTAATGACTATCTTTTCTTTTTTTTTTTTTTTGTGAGGAAGACCAGCCCTGAGCTAACATCTGATGCCAATCCTCCTCTTTTTTCCTGA